CTGCCCTGAACGAATTCTCCTGCCCTGAACGAATTCTCCTGCCTTGAACGAATTCTCCTGCCTTGAACGAATCCTTCTGCCCTGAACGAATCCTCCTGCCCTGAACGAATCCTCCTACCCTGAACGAATCCTCCTGCCCTGAACGAATTCTCCTGCCTTGAACGAATCCTTCTGCCCTGAACGAATTCTCCTGCCTTGAACGGATCCTCCTGCCCTGAACGGATCCTCCTTCCCTGAGCCCTTCCCTAAGCAGATCCTCCTGCCCTGAGTGGATCCTCCTGCCCTCAGCCCTTCCCTGAATGAATTCTCCTGCCCTGAGTGGATCCTCGTGCCTTCAGCCCTTCCCTGAACAGATTCTCCTGCCCAGGGCTCTTCCTGAAGCTCTCCTGCAGCAGAATCTGGGAATGGGTTGGGTTGGAGGGACATTTAAGCCCATCCAGTGCCACCCCTGTCAYAGGCAGGGACAGCTCCCACTGTCCCAGGCTGCTCCAAGCCCTGTCCAGCCTGGCTTTGGGCACATCCAGGGATGGAAAGTCCAAACTTGCCCATTTCCAGAGGGCTGTAGCACGGGAGCAGCCCCCTCCCCTGGCACAGCCCTGCCTGAGTCCAGACACTTCTCCAGCCCTTGGTTTAAGAACCCCCAGCCCTGATCCCACTGCTCCAGGAAGTGTCTGGAAATGAGGGGCAAAGTCTGGCCCCACCATATGAGCAACTCAGAATCTCGGAATGTTGGAGTCACAGAGGTTGGAAAGGCCCCTGGAGGTCATTGAGTCCAGCCACAACCCCCACTGACCACTGACCATGCCCCAGTGCTGATCCACAGGGTTTTGGTCCTTCCAAGGATGGGATTCCACCACAGCCTGGGCAGCCCTGCCAATCCCTGACCTCCCTTTCCACCAAGGAATGTTTCCCAGGAGCTGACACAAATCCAGTTCCTGCCCTGTTTGTCTGTAAGAAGCACATTTCAGGCTCTCCTGGGCCTCAGCCTTGGCTCTGCCCTAAATCCAACCTTCAGCTTTTCCCGGGATGTTTTGTCCCAGCCTGGGGACGGGCACATGCCCAGGAGGCTCCTGGGGACAGGAAGGGACATCAGTGAGAGGGACCAGGGGTGGGGATGGCCTTGATCTGTACCTGGGGGGTGCTGGCATCTCCACCACCCCCATCCCCGGGCAATTCCCACCTCCCACCGTCCCAGACTGAACCCCCCTGACCTCTCCCTCTCTCCTTGCAGCGCTGTTTTCTTYGTCACCTACCTGATCCTCGCCTGCTGCTCCGGGCCCAGGTACGGGGTCATTTTGGGGTCTGGGTAGTGCGGCAGGAATATTTCCTGCAKGTTTTTCTTGTGGGGCAGGGATGGGGCCGTGTGGGCGCCGGGATGGGGCGGCAGCTGAGTTTTCATGGAATCATCATGGAATTGTCATAGAATCTTTGTGGAATCATCATGGAATTATCATGGAATAGTCATGGAATCGTCATGGAATCATCTCATCATGGAAGGGTTTGGGTTGGGAGGGACCTCACAGCCCACCCAGTGTCACCCCTGCCATGGCAGGGACAGCTCCCACTGTCCCAGGGTGCTCCAAACCCTGTCCAGACGGGCTTGGGACACTGCCAGGGATCCAGGGGCAGCCACAGCTGCTCTGGGAATCTGTTCCAGATGTTGGGAACGTCTGTTCCAGATGTTGGGAACGTCTGTTCCAGATGTTGGGAACACCTGAGACATCTGCAGCTGAGACAGCCCAGCAGAAACTGCCCCGTTCACAGCTCTGCATTCTGGGAATGGAATGATGGAATGTTCCAGAGGATGCTTCTGTCAGGGATTCTGGGGATTGAACATTCCAGAGGGTGCTCCTGTGTGGGATTCTGGGAACGAAAATTCTGGAGGATGATCCTGTCAGGGATTTGGGAATTCCACATTTCAGAGGGTGCTCTTGTCAGGGATTTTGGAAGTTCCACATTCCAGAGAATGCTTCTGTGAAGGATTCTGGGAGCAGAACATTCCAGAGGATGCTAGTGTCAGGGATTTGTGTATTCAACGTTCTGGAGGATGCTCCTGTCAGGGATTCTGGGAACTGAAAATTCTGGGAATTGAAAATTCT